GCGGGACAGCTGACCCCGGCTGGCCAAAGGGCTGTTGCAGGCCGTAGGACGTCATGCTCACTGTGTCACCCGGCGGCGCTTGGCCGGGAGGGCGGGGACCGCAGCTCGGGGTCGGGCGGGGCATCGGTCAGCAGGTGGTTGCATCACTTTGGTTTTTCCTGGATTTTGTTTTTCCCGTCACTTTCATGACAATTTATTGTTCTATTTCAATTATTAAACTGTTCTTATTTCAAACTTTTATGATTTTTCTTACTTCGGCCATTCCGATTCTCTCCCCTACCCCGCCGGGACAGGAGAGGGTGAGCGAGCGGCTGCGCGGTGCATGGTTGGGCTAAACCGCAACACACAAACAGCCCCCCCGGACAATTTTTTTAGGTCGGTGCCCCTGCGGAGCGCTCCGTGTCCGCGAGTTTGCTGTCACCAGGCGGGAGGAAAACCCCATCTGTGGAAAAGCACGGGGACCAGCAGCGGGGAGAGAAAAGCAAGGAGGCAAGTTAAGCAGCACCTGTCGAGGCATGACTGACTAGGTACTAGATTTCAGCCCCCAGTAACACACTTCCACCCTGATGACCATCGAGCACACCCTCCTCCACCTGACAAAAACTCGTTTGGCTGGGCGCTGGCACCCTCCATGCGTTCTGCAGCCCATTGCCGTGCTCCTTTCCAACCGGCCTTGAGAAGAGGCGGCTCTTGCCAGAGGGCCTCCTCCGTGAGGGCCTATCCCCTTCCCAGTGTGAGAACCTGAAGAGCACTGTCCTATGAGAGTGTGGAGAGCACGGTCCTACGCCCCTCTTCTGCCTGAAGGCAGGCAGGAAGCAGTAGTCCTTCAGCAAACCACGTAACAGAAGAGCGGAACAGGAGAGAGAGGGTTTTTTTGGTCCCACTGACCTTCTCTCTGTGGGAACAGGAGCATCGGCCTCCTCATGGAAACGTGCTCAGCTTACCCTTAATTGCTTCCAGTTTTCTTTACCCTCACACTAGTCTTACTGTCTTGCAACTGCATTGACTGACTGGACAGTTGTGACTCTAAAGGTTTTTGGTGGCAGTGCCGGAGGGAAAGCAGAGACATCGTTCCCAGTTGGGTGGGCAAGAGAATCGTTGTTCCCAAGGGCACGCTAAGTGGCTTCCCAAAGCAGAAAACACCATGTGTCGGGCAAAACAAACACCTGAATCAATGACAGACAGCAAAAACAGTCAGAAATCCAGCTTCTAGGCTTAACTGAGAAGGTCAGAGGGGGAGCAATAGCTCTGCGAGACAAAACGTTTTTTTCCTGTATCAGTGTTTATGACTATACATCCTCCTGTTCTTCCCGTTATTCTGACATCAGGAAGATAAAGAAATCATCTTCTTGATGTCAAACTAACCCTGTGGTTGCATGTCTGTGTGTCATAGGCATAAGCCACCAGCCTGCTGTAGCACAACACTTCTGTCATCACCCTGTGTCTGAACGTACGCAAGACACTTAGCAAGATTTCCTTCGGCTATGGCAGCCTGAAGATGCAGCCAGCAGAAAGTGACACCGCTTCCAAAAAAACATCCTTTCTTCACAAAAGGAACCATGGGCTCCTGTCCTGCAGCTCCCCCCCACGCCGCCCCCCACTTTACCGCTGGTACAGCCCTGGCAGTCAAAAGGCATCTGCCAGGGGCAGACTAGGTCTTTTCCTGTCAGGGCCTGTACCACCTTCAAAGCAAAAGTGGTCTACCACCGTACCAAGCTTGCAGGAGGGTTCTGTAAGCTTCTGTAACAGCAGCTGAAATACTTTACCGCCCAAAGAGACTCTTAGAAGAGTTTATTTCCTTTTCCCGCTGAAGTGGGTTGCTGTTAGCAACTTGGCAAGAGGACACGCAACTGAGGCACCGCAGGTGAGCCTGGCCAGTTTCCACAGGCAATCCATGGCAGAGCCCTGTCTGCTTCTTTCACTGCTTTTTATGGGTGTGGTGTCAATGAATCTTCCCAATCCCTTTTGAGCCTGCTGGTACTGTCTGCCTCCTATGGCGATAAATCTCGGAGGCTCACCACATGCTGCTTGAAATACCACTTTCAAGTGTGGCAAATACCACCTTAATATAATGGGTCAATCTGTTTTTAAGTGAAGAACGAGTGCCCCCTAAACTAGCATTTGTACCATTCAGTGAACACTAGTTCTGCATCCACTTGACTCACAACTTTTGTAAACCATGACCATTCTTCCCCCTCAGTCTTCTCCTCTCCAGAATGAAGTCCCAGCATTTTTAGTCTCTCCTCCTCACAAAGCGACTTCTCCATTCCATTTATGCCATTAGTTGACCTTCTTTTAACTCCACTATGGACTCCAGATGCAGAAACTGGCACTGCCCAAGGCTGAAAATGTGGGTTCACTCATTTTACACAGGAGCCAAGTAGCACCACCCGCCTTGTTTGCAATACCCTTCCATGTGATGGCTACCTAATACTTTGAGGCAGCTCCGCACTGTGGTGACAGTTTCAGAAGAATTGTCAGACCTCTGCTCTGAGCTGTAAGTACAAGTTGCTGAACTACAAGTTCAGTACCATGTATGTATATTTTGATGAATGATTTACACCACAGACGATAAATCTATACTGGAGCTCATCTACCCCTTTTGCCCATGGAAAGATCTCACAAAACTGAGCTCCTTGTCACTGGACCGGTGTTGGACTGCTCAAGAAAGCTCGGTATCATCTGCAAACTTGGGTGCTTTCATTGTTCATTCCCTCCTCTGAATCACAGCTAAACTGGCTGAATAAAGATTACCAATACTGAAATTCTTGCTCTGCGTGAGCAACCAATAAGTCTTAACCCTTCACTTCCTATCCTTCTCAATTCATAAAAGGTTCCATGATGTTCCTCGGGAACCAACATACCACTTTAAGTTGTACTCACGCATTTCTGCATGTAAGAAAATGCTTCAAAAACTTTATTGAAGGGACACAATAAGCCTAGGAGTTTTGTGCAGGGATGGGAAAAGCAACAACAAAATATTTCTTCCCTTCACCACTGTATTGATTTCGTGTGGCAAGGTTTTGGTAGTGGGGGTGCTAATGGGGTGGCTTCTGTGGTAAGACAAACTTGCCGCTGGCCAAGGGTGAGCCCATCAGTGACAGTGGAAGTGCCTCTGTGGTAATAAAGAAGGGGAAAAAAGCTGCTGCACAACAGCAGCTGGGAGAGAGGAGTGACGATGTGAGAGGAGCAGCCCTGCAGACCCCCAGGCCAGTGCAGCAGGAGGGGCAGGAGGTGCCGCAGGCGCCGGAGCAGAGATTCCCCTGCAGCCCCTGGTGCAGCCCGTCGTGTTACCAGCGAGAGGCCAGTGCGCGTCCCTCAGGGAGGAGGCACAGCAGTTGGCGAGTGAAAGCTTTGGCTTGATGGAAAGTGTAGCATTACCACAGTGGGAGCCCCTGGGTGAGGGTGAGCCAGGACACCGTCGCTCGTCACATGGGGACCCGACACAGTGGAGCCCTGCTCAGGAGCAAAGCTCAAAGGAAAGCACCTCAGTAGTGGATAATAAACCTTGTGCTGATTAACGTACTGTACGTATGCACTGTCCTGCTTTGCTCATTAGTGAACTCACTGACATAATGCAGGTGCTGCTGTCTAAATTCAGAGATCTACAGCTGGCCACCACATTGGTGGTGCAGGAGAAGCAAACTCTCCCAACTTACTGTAACAAGGAGATAAAACATGGACTCCACATGCTCAGGTGGGGAAAGTGAACTGTCCCAGGTTACCGTAACAAGGTCTTCTTATACCCTACACATGGTGAGGCAGGCTGTGCCCCTGCAGTCCAGGGAGGCCCACCGGGGAGCAGATCCCCACCTGCAGCCCGGGGAGGACCCCACACTGGAGCAGGGGGGTGCCCAAAGAAGGCTGTGACCCTGTGGGAAGCCTGCGCTGGAGCAGGCTCCTGGCAGGGCCTGTGGCCGCATGGAGAGAGGAGCCCAGGCTGGAGCAGGTTTGCTGGCAGGGCTGGTGACCCCAGAGGGGACCCACGCTGGAGCAGTCTGTTCCTGAAGGACCGCACCCCATGGAAAGGATGGACCCCTGCAGGAGTAGTTTGTGAAGAACTGAGCCCATGGGAAGGACCCACATTGGAGAAGTTCATGGAGGACTGTCTGCCATGGCAGGGACCCCAGGCTGGAGCAGGGGCAGAGGGTGAGGAGGAAGGAGTGGCAGAGACAACGTGTGATGAACTGACCCCAGTCCCCATGCCCTGTCCCCCTGCACTGCTGGGGGGAGGAGGCAGGGAAAATCAGGAGTGAAGTTGAGCCTGGGAAGAAGGCAAGGGTGGGGAGAAGGTTATTTGTTCTTGTTTCTTATTATCTACAATAAATTAATTTCCCTGATTCAAGTCTGTTTTGCCCGTGATTGGTAACTGGTGAGTGATCTCCCTGTCCTTATCTCAGCCCACAAGCCTTTCATCACATTTTTTCCCCCCTGCCCAGCTGAGGAGGGGGAGTGAGAGAGTGGCTTTGGTGGGCACCTGGTAGCTGGCTAAGCTCAACTCACCCCAACCATGCAAGTATTAGCTAGTCTGTTACAGTTGCACCTCTTCCAAAGGGAAATATAAACAAAACCACAGTTTAAAGTCAGACAGTCCATCACTGCATTTGAGCAAATGCAACCTGAATTACTTTTACTGCAAAATAATAATACAAAATAGTATTTGGAATGACTTTTTCTTAAACACAGCTTTGCACAGCTCTAATCTGTTTAAGACAGGTTTAGGACTCTTAACACTGTTAACAGTAAAGTACTAAATTTCAGTCACCATGATCAGTTCAGCTGACACATAGTAATGCAGTCCATCATTTGCTTCTCATGTTTACAACTTGTTTTTTATTCAGGCTGATAAAGATGTAAGAGATTGAAAATGTAAGAGTTAATACATTACTCACTCGGCAACAAAAGACGATTCAAACATACCACTTCCCTAGTTTACCTGAACATATATAAACACAAATCCTGTAACACAGTTTTAATGTACATTTAGCATACCTGCTTTCTGAACACTGTAATTAGTATAATTTCAACCTGAGCTATGAAAATTAACAAGAATTATTTTTCCCTTCCTTCTCCCTGAAGCATGCATTTATTGTCTGGTAGTCTATGCCACCCACAATAATCAATCTTTGCACAATATATGTACTTAATCTTGCTGGGAATGCATCTGCAGTCCTTCTGACATCTTATTCCCCCATCTTTTTCCAGTAATGTGACTTCTCTTCAGGTTTGTTTGTTTTTCTTTAAATATCTATTCCCAACTGCTCCAAGCAATGCACAGCATACAAATTACTTGACAAACACCACAGAGATATTTAGCAAGTCTGAGTAAGTTCAGTTAGGTTGTCTTCAGTAACAGCTTCAGTTACTGTATAAGCAGTGTAACAGCTCATAAAAATCTTAAATTTACTATTGCCACAGCATATAGCTAGTTCCTCTAACCATATTTATCAGTGATTAGAAGCTAATAAAAATACTAGAGGTAGTCACTGTCATCCTAATATGAACGTTTCAGATTGCATTCATCCGTGTTCAGATATGCTTACTAATCCACCAGAACTACATCTTTATAGTTTTGTACACAGAAATGTTTATATTCTTTAAAACATACACATTCAATCAGATTTACAGATCAGCCAAAGCATGACTAATTGAAGAAATTCTCAAGAATAATGCACTGTTGATACTACTCAACAGTATCTGAGGCTTACAGAGTTAATAGTCACTACAAATCCACTTGAGTTGTATGAGCTAATATTATGGATGTACACAGAACATCTGCTCAGTTGGCTGGCTTGCCAAGTATGACAGTCTTGGGGTTTTCAATTCGTATCAAATGGAACCCAGGCTTTCTACATTATCACGCTGTGACCTGCTGATCTAAAATAAAAAGTACACATTTAACCTGTCGTGTTATTTCTCTGTTTGCACATGGCATCATTGTGTATTAGAAACTAATACCACCACCATGTCTGCTTTCATTGATGGTTTGTCCCATATTCTTTCTGTTCCCTTTTTTTTTTTTACATTATTTTATCATTAGATAACAATGGATTCACCTATTATTTCAGAACATCCAATTTCAAAGAACTTAAATGTATAGCTTATGATGACTTAGAGTAACAGGCAAACATGTATAAGGGCTGTAATACATATATATGGGGAGACAGAGATTTACATAATCCTTGCAGTATTTTCACATAAAAGGATTAGCTTCCTGTTAACTTGAATGGGATAAGCAGATTCAATTTCTAGTAGAATTACTTACTTCCTTCCCTCAGCTTTTTTAATTCCTGTATTATATCACTATACACACAGGATAAAAGCTCCTCTTGGGATTTTGTTCCATCCAAATAAACTAAGAAAGACAAAATAAAATGTTTTTATGAGTTCTATACCAGTTACCTGCAATAGCAGTTGACAAAGCTTTCAGTATTCCTACGGGTGCAATAAGAAGAGATGGAAAAATAAAAAGCAAGAACACTACCTCCCTTTTCTTCTTTCCCAAATTAATTTTACATGTTAAAAAAAAATAACGTCATGGATAAGTATTCTAGTTATGAATTAATTTACATCTTTTTGTGGTATAAAACCCTCCATAAGGGTAGCACTAATAACAGTAGGACAGTAAGGAAATGGAATAATTCAGCAGAAAGGTTCCTATGCAGTGGAAGGTTTGAGCAAGTTAAGAAAGGGCACTGACGTTCCCACTCTCACTGCACTGCAAGAAGCTGTGCCCTGCTCTTTGTGCTGATGAAGCAGCACCCGACTTCTCCTTCCCCTGGGCCCCGCTCCAGAAGGAGGCAGTCCACAAACTGTACAGGTGTAAACACCACACAAGCTCATGGCAGCGCCTCGTCAAGCTGGCTCAGCCTTGACACTTCTCATACAAGACTGATGACTGTAGTGCGTACAAAAAGTACCTAGGAAGTGTCTTCAGCTTATTGCAGGACTTCAACCAGGATTTTAATTCTGTTCTGAAGAATTCTGCCAGAGCATCACCTATCGTCTTGGAAGCTTAGCCATGTGTGTGTATGCATGCACGCACACACAAAGCAGCTTGTTAAACGGACTTAATTAGCAATCAGAACATTTCTGGTTTTAACTTCACAATTTTAACTGTTAAAAAAAAACCCAAACAAACCCACAATCAAAACCCTACAGACTTGAAAAATCAATAAAAGGCCCAAACCAACTGCCCAAGTGCCACAAAAATATTTGAAGAAAACTCTGTCCCATAGAAAAAAACCCACACAACCCAACAAAGACTGCACAAGTGCTACACTTAAGCATTCTGTAAGTTTAAAATTAAGGATACCATACCAATGTTACTTGCATTCTCTTCCAATTCATTTTTATATTTCATATACATAGGCCACACGTGTCCATCGAAGAACCCCGGTGTATCTGCTGGCTGATAGACTCTGGTGCTACACAAAAATATATTTGCTTTCCCATGCAAGTTTTACATTTTTCCCCTAGTGTCAGCTGGTTTAATAAGAGCATCTATCCGAAATAAAAACAGGCTGGCAGGGTGCATAACTGAGCAAAGGAGGCTCCTTTGTTTCAATATAATCTGTGATATGATCTCTTGCTAGCTTACCTATTTCTGCCAACCAAATAACATTTAAGATGTGGTAAAGGGATTTTTTTTTTCAATTGAAAAAGGTATTGCATATAAATTAAGCTGTACTGAAAGCATTATCAAAACAAGTTACTTTTTTTTTTTTTACTTTTTTTTTTTTTTTTTTTTTTTTTTTCGGGTTACAGATTTCTCCAGTTTTAAACTACTAGTGATTTTTTCTGGTCTCTTCCAGCCTGGACACTAAAGGCCTTTAATGGTGAGTCTAGTGAGAAACCAAGAAAGTGGAATCAACCAAAGCCAGCTGAATGGAGGATTTCCTTGCTCAGCCAGCAGATTCTGACTTCGTGCACATGTATTGCTCCAAGCACACAACATTGCTCCAAATTTGGAGGCAAGCCAGACACTGGCTTAATAATCTAAATCAGATATACGGTAAAACAAATGCACTAAGTCTAAGTGAAGCATAGACTAAAACCACCCATGAACATTGTTACTTCAACAACAATCACGTAGCTGTATTCAACAAAGGCTTAACTCCAATATGCAGTCAATAATCTAAATAATTTATGTGGACAACAAATTCTCTTTTGAGCATTTGTAAAACATTTAACATCCTATTGGTTAAATACCCACACCGACTTCCCTGGGAATCACATAGCACAGACAATCTCAATAACTTCTATTTGGTAAGCACCGAAGAAAAGCTAGTTCAAAAGAACCACTCCAGCTTAGCGGGTACAGTGACCCTCTGTGAGCAATAACTGAATAATCTTACCTCCTTCTCCTTTTGCACTCTTCATAAGGAAGGGTCAAAAAATATCTTCTATTCCATAGTTCATTAAGAGGCCTAAGATAGTAATATATTTAGTTCCCTCTTCCTTTTTAGGGCAGCTTTTAATATATCAGGTTACATACTACTGCTTACTCATAATTGTATAGCAGAAAGCCTTCAACAATCAAAATATAAACATCATCTGTATTTTTCAGATTGTCACAAGCATTCTGTGGCTCTTCTGTCACAACACCTGAGCTTGCTGGCTTTTTCATCCAGTTGCGAATACTTTTCACCATTTCATCCATATAGAGGGCATCAAGTACTACATGAAAACAGAAAGTTAGGCACCCCTTAAAAACAGAGAATAAAAAAAAAAATGAGGAAACCTTAAGTGCCCCTAGGTTAAATAGTAAGAGTCAAATAGACTACATACAAGTCTAAATGAAAGGGAATGGGATTACCTCAAAAATTCTCTCTCACAGTTATAAGTAGTTCCAAGTTTGCAACTGATGATACCCTGGAACTAAAACTTTCCCCAGGATCAGGGTATTTCTAGTGAGCGTGGTCTCTCTGAATGCTGTGGCATCAAAAAGGGTGAACTCACTTCACAGCCTTTTCCTTGACAGTAGAAACTGCAGGGACTGTTATCCTATTCCACAAAACTTGTAAAAACTTAATTACCTCAAGACCTCCACTCTTCTGTCAATTGTCACCAACATAGGTGAAGGGGGGGGGGGGGGGTTTTTTAAATTTTTGCTTTGTGTTTTTATTTTGCTTCAGGTATTTGGAGGGTGGGGATGAATGGATTCGGTTGAAAGGAGGATGGCGTACAAAGCAAAACAGCACAATGTAGCAGCTGTTTTTGTTTGTAGGCATGCAAGAACATATCAAGTAGGTACCGAATGGCAGAGAGAAGGCAGCCTTTGGATAACATAAGAGCAAATGCATTTTAGAAGTGCTTTTAAGAGCAGCATTAAACCCAGATATTTGAATCAGAATGTCCAACTTATCCCTCCAGTTTCACACTTCAGTTTCGCGATGTCTAGAAGTGGAGCCAAAGACTGCACAGCTAGTAAGAGTCGGGTTTTGGATACAATTTATGGTTCTGGCCAATATGCCTGAGTAACACATTTTGTGATCATCAAGTATCAACAGAGATTAGCTAATAATCAACTGTTCACAACTCAATATGACCTGAACCAAAGCACCTGCCTGAAGTGGATCTGGATCTAGAAGTTTTTAAGACTAAATTGGCACACTGAGCCAGAATTAACCATGAACTTCAAAACATTTGGTCTCTGTGTGACATCTGACATCAAATAAAGGTGCCAGAATCAGACCCAAGTTTTGACCGATTTGGAAGATGACAATGAAAGAGACTCAATGGTGATATCCCATGAGGTCATTATTAAAGTGACAAAAAAAATAAAATCATTTTATAGAAAGTGGTGAGGTTAAGCTTATGCCAGTGCTGTAAGCCAAGGCTTTCAACTGAACAGTAACATTTGCGACTGCACCAGACGCAGCGGTGGAAATAGAGGAAAAAGATTAAAAAGGGAAAAGGAAAGGTCAAGCACTAGCTTGAGTTGTTTACTAGTTTAGCAAGTTTTCTTATTTATCTCAGTGAGGTGAGAGAAGCTGAGCAAAGGACTGCTCTTAAACAACCATTTGTTTACTGCTTTGTTCAGACAGGAAGAGGGGCGGGGGGTGGAGGGGAAGAAGTGTTGAAGCTCAGCAGAACAGCGATTCAGTACAATGTTCAAAAGCAATGCATCAAAGTTACTCACCATCATATAGCTTAAATCCACGTTCATCTGTTTCTACTTCAGACTCTGGCTGAAGGGGAAAAAAGATTGAATATTTTTGAGACTGCTTTTATGACCACTTTGACAGTTACGTATATATATATATATCAGTTACAAACCTAAGGGTTATAAATCTTTGTATCCCAATTGATTAAATTTAGCTTGAAAATTAAACTCCTGTATACAACTGTTAAAATACAATACAAACACTTTATTTAACCTAGAACAGCAAGTGCTCCAAATTATACCTCTTAAGTTCATTAGAGCTTTACTTCTGAAATAAGAACTGCTTCACCATCCTTAACAAACAACTCTGAAAACAATGCAAAAGGTGTTTTTCTGGTTTGATTTGGGAAACAAGAGAACTACCTATTGCTGTATGGGTGTAGGGTTAACACAACAATATCATTAACTTCATTACCACAAAGTATCTTGAAAAATGCATCCAACATGCACCCGCTCCTCAATTTAAAAGGGCATCAAAGAAGACAGTAAATTTCTTTTTGCTGAGTACACTCCATGGTTTTGGCCACTAAGAGTTCAATTACCCCAGCACTCATTTTACTTCTCTTTCTCATGAAGTTACTGTTATTTTAAGCCGCACAATTTTAAAAGTTTACCAGTAGGAGAACTGAAAAGAGAAGAAATGATACTAAAATCTACTCAAGCCTACTCTTACCTATCAGGTCCTTCCATCAATACCGTTACCTTAAAGAAGTCATCTTGAGAGATTACATCGCAGTTGGGAAGCATTTTCTTAAGCTTTTCTGCCAGCGTTGTTTTCCCCCCATTTGTTACCCTGAGTTAGAAAACAAAGCAAAAACCGCATCAAGACAAAAACCTATCTTTTAAACATATGTAAGACAGAACTCTATTTTTTAAACATACGTACAAGCTCACACACACATTTCTATATAGTGAGGGTAAACCACAAAGACACAATCCAAGCACCCCCAAAAGTTTATTCGCATTAAATACTCTACATCAAGGAATTTTCTGGCAGGTTCCAACAGCTTTCAGACAGTAAATCTAGCAGTGCCAAGAAAGAGGTTAGAGGGAGGTGGTACTGGAGGTCTCCAACAGAGACAGGAACAATTTCTTAAGAGGTAAATGCCATAAAATGAGACAATTACGTGTTGTATTTGCAATCTGTTTTCAAAAAATATCCATTCATAAATAGAAATGACATCACTTCATTCTGAAAGGAAGACCAGTCTGGGGCTGTAGAGGAAATTTAATTTGCTAATACTTACCCGCCGAGGCCAATAATCAATACTTTCATAGTTTGTTTTCTCCTCAGTTCTTCCTTTTCACTGTCAAAGATAGTAGCCAGTGAAAACTCTTAATTCAGCAACATGGAAAGCAGCTATTGTATTAAGGAATGCCAATTACAGGTAAGACTTATTTGCTGTCCTTTTTTTTTTTTTTTTTTGCAAAGCTACTGTCAGAACCTCAACTGCTTGTTCTAATGCTAACATAAAACCTGCAAGATACATGCCACATCACAGATTTCAATGCTTTTTACCTTAGACAGTATTATAATTATTTGGAGGGAACGTTGAGAGACTCAGTTTTATCAATATTAATACCACAGGAGTCCCTAAAGAAAAGCACAGTCACTAGCTCAAGCATTAATGGTATAAAAAAGATGAGGAAAACTGAAGCTGTGGTGGCGAAACAAACGAAAACCTTGAAAAAGCCCCCAGTGATGTGCTGAGGAGAAAGAAGTTTTAAGAATTTTATTAAAGGTTATAACAAAGAGGAGGAGCGAGGGGAAGAATGTTAGTTTGTTAATTTTTGGCTGAACGAATTCCCACCAGTTTACCACCCAGTTACCCGTGCCTTCAAAGGCATGGTGTAGCAGAAGGCCAGGTAGTAATGGGGCCGCTTCTCTTGGCAGCGGCACTAGTCTACAGAGTTTATCAAGCCAGTTTAACACTTGTGGAACACCGCTTTCCAAGAGCACAGGCCAATTAACGACCATTTATCCACACACAAACACCCTGTTTTTCACCTGCTCTGTCCTCCTAAGACACGCTTAAGGAGGTAAGGCCTGTGATACCCAGGACCTGAAAGGACTGAAGCAGGTAACACCACCTCCCCTCCCCAACAAAAAAGTATCTGTATATATTTTTAAATTCTAAATTGTCTTAAAAATGTAATACTTTAGTTTTAACTGTAATTAAGCTTCTTTTTTTTTTCTGTAATCAAAGCTGCATTATTAGATCCTAGCAGCAGGATGAAATTCTTGCCTTAACAGGAGAACACCTCATATCTTTTTTAAAGTCTTTATTTTCCTATACTAGGAAAAAAAAAAAGACTGTTACAGGGCATCAGTAGGAAAATAAGACCGCACTATTCCTGTTAAAATAAGTTTTAGACACACGCGGAGTCGGAAATATTAATATCCTTTTGCATTTGGTGCAATGACTGGAAGTTCAACTGTTTCAGAGGTCTGTGACGCAATCTTTGCATGGTTGCTTTGTATGTTCCTTCTGTTAGAAAGAGAAAACAAAAAGAAGGTGTACTGACTCGTGCAGGGGGCACTGCCACTACGACAGCCACAGCTCTGCAACGCTGCTGCACACCTACAGTACCCGGCAAGTTTTGTGAGTTAGCATGCGAAGGTTTTCTAAGAATATTATAAATATTCATAGCTTCAATGGCACATCGCAAGCTTACGGTATCAGCGAGGTATTCAGGGAGTGCAAACAGATGAGCTGTCCTCAGGCGGTGACGATGGTCAGCCCGTTAAAAAGAAAGAAAACCCAAACCCCAACGCTCTTCTCTAAAAATCCTCAGCAAGGTTTGCGTTCCAGGGGATTAGCCTTTGTCCCACAAAAAAAATGCCATGTAACAAACTAAACAACATCTGGACACACGTGCTGAGCTTTGGACTCTAATTTACGTCACTGTCTGCATGAAAGTTAATCCCAGTTTAAGGCAAAAAACATCAGGACGAGAAAGCCCACCAACTCTGCCTCTCCCCAGAGCAAGGATGCAAAAGCCCAGCAACTCTTCCTCCCCCCAGAGCAGCGTGTAACACAAACCGCAAAGGCAAATCTGTCACTCCTGTTGCAACACAGGAATCCTGAATTGCTCTTCCCGGGCTCGGTTTAGCGCCCGTAAACAGGACATAAACCCTAACACCGAGGCGCTACCGCCCTACTCGTAACGGCACAGGGCGCCTTTAACCGCTGCTTAAGGCGCCGCGGGGTGCCCGGGAGAAGCCGCCCCGGCCGAGGGGGTG